GAAGGCTTTCCTGCCCTCCCAATATCTTCTCTTGGGGGTAAAAAAAAACAGTTTTCTGTTGGGGGTGGGAGGGTCCAGACGGACATATAAGAATGTTTGCCCCTCAAATAGAAGGAGTGCATGCGGAATTTTGAGCAAAAACACTTGACATTCTTCTCAGACGACTTTATAGACAGCTGCTTTCACCTTAGGTTGTTGTCAGGAAATTTCAGAGGGGTAGGAGACCACAGAAATGCTCATTTGACTTCCCACAGGGGGAAGACTTCTCTCTTTTGCTGCCTTGACAGGTGGCCATTCAGTCACTGCATGAACAGCTAAGTAGTAAGGAGCTCACTCCCTGGAAAGACAGCCCATTGCACTTTTAGCTCACTTTGTTACAAATATTGACGCTTGCAGGAATTGTACTCCAGTCAAGCATTGTTCCCAGAAGAACGAACAAATCTGTCCTGGAAGAAGTACAGCCAGAATGCTCCTTAGAAGCGAGGATGGCAGGACTTCGTCTCACGTACTTTAGACATGTTATCAGGAGGGACCAGTCCCTGGAGAAGGACATCATGCTTGGTAAAGTAGAGGGTCAGCGAAAAAGAGGAAGACCCTCAACCAGATGGACTGACAAAGTGGCTGCCACAAGGGGCTCAAACACAGCAACAATTGTAAGGATGGCGAGGGACCGGGCAGTGTTTCGTACTGTCGTACACAGGGTCACTATGAGTCCGAACCAACTCAACGGCACCTAACAACGCAAGCTAGTCCAGGAAGTGAGTGCATGTGGCCAAGCCTGAAGGGTGTAATATGACACCCCGGGAACCATAAAAGTGCCCAGTTTATATATTTTTCCTTAGGAGTAGTGTGAAAGTTGGGGGGTGGTAGATTGAAGGAAGCATTTCTACAAAGATTCACTTCTATCCTGCTTTCTCTTAGAAAGCCATATATAAGCATATTTCTCCAGCCTTAGAGCTCAGTTGCAACTACCATTTCAGACCCATAATTGTGGGACAATGGCCTTCCGTGCATGGCAAAGACAACTGGGAAGGGCTCCTAGGTCTCAGGTGGCTCTTAAAACATCTATTTTTAACAAATATGTTTTACTAGTTAGGAATGAAATGCAGAACATGTTTATGAAATAGTCTTTCATGGAAAGTTCGAGTAAAAGGCATCCTAAAGGCCAGAATCTCACTCCCATCCACTTGTCCCAATCTCTCCTGCTCCTGCCCTGGGTCAGGACCTCATTATCCATAACTTGAACCATTATCATAGCCTTCTTTGTCTCTGGTTTCCTGCACTTTCACTATGATGTGTCTAGAAATAGATTTCTTTTTATTTATCCTGCCTAGGATTCACTGGGCTTCCTGAATCTATAGATTAATGTTTTCCATCTGTTCTGGAAATTTTCCGACCATCATCTTCTTCCTCTTTTCTATCTCCTCTCCTTATGGCTCTTCAGTTAAATGCATGTTAGACTTTATCACTCTGTTTATTGTGTCTCTCATCCTCTTTTTTCTTTTTTCCATATAATCTGTTTCTTCTGGCAGAATTCTGAATAATTTCTTGTGACCTGTCTTCCAGTTCAATAATTCTCTTCAGTTGTGTTTAGCCTTCTGTTAAACCCATCCACTGAATTCTCAATTTTCATTCTTCTATGTATCATTTCTAGAAGTTCTATTTGATTTTTTCAAATTACCTCTCACTTTTTATAGTTTTCTATTCCCTGCAGATATTTTCAAGCTTATCTTTTATTTTTTGAAATATAGTATACCATAGTCATTATAGTCTGGCTTATAATTTTGGTATCTGAAGCATTTGCAAGTTTATTTCTCTTGTCTGTTTTTTCTGTTGGCTATCACTCACAATGTATTTTTTTCTTGTATGCCTAGTTACGTTTCACTATGTGCCAATACATTATTTAAAAAATCATTTGTAAGAATGATTTCAGGCCTAGCATAACAGTACCCTCCTGCAGAGAACATTTTCATTTGCTTCTGAGAAATGCCTGGGGATATTACTTATCCAAGACTGCTTTAACTCAAGTTCAAGGCTTGAGGTCCGTTGGACTACCCAGGTGATAGATATCTAGGCTAGGGCAGGTTACTTCTGGTTAACCATTATCCAGAAAGGATAGCGGCTCAGGGTCTCACCTTAAAGTAGCAGGAGTGCTTATTGGATCCTCTACTCATTTGGGCCTTGGACTTCAACGTTTGTCCCCCTTGTCCCCGGGACCACCAAAACCACAGTTGAGTTTCACAACTCTTTCTTCTGAAGTCAGCAAATGCCCTCAGGGCAAAAGTAGGCTTCCTCTCTGGGTTCTTGTCTTCTTCTAGATGTTAGCCTCATTATTTCTTAGCTCTTTATAAACATGATTTCTTTTTATATTTCAGCCACTTTATTTAGTTGTCCTCGTTGGGATAGTTAGTCCAAATTACTCAGCCTGCCATCACCAGGAGCAAAGGTGTACAATCCCCTCCTAACTGTTCTCCTGGTCCCCAGCCTCTCTTCCTTCCAGTTCCTCCTTCACAAAGTAACCAAAAGATTCTTCCAGAGGCACTACTATGATTGTGTCATTCCCTTGCACAAATCCTTCAAAAGCTTACTGTGGACTCTAAAATAAAAATCAAGTCCTCAGTTTGGAAAACTAGATCCAAAACTCTTTCCTTGCCTCACTTATTTATTCGACAAGTATTTATTGTGCACCAAGTGTGTGACGATCACTAGGCCAAGTGCTGCCTAATCTTTTGCCTCTTACCTCTCTTCTTACCTCCCAACTCACCTTATACTACACTAAACTAGGACACTCACTGTCGCATGGCAGAGCTGGGTCCAGAACACAAGCGGGCTAACTCCCGGGTCAATGCTCCTTCCCCTACACCATGATCCCATATTTGGGTTCCAGTCCATTCTATCTGGATATTTACGGATATTTATGGATAAGTTAACTAGACAAAAGCTCAACAGGTACAAATGATAGTGGCATTTTCATATGTCTTGTTGCTTTGGGGGCTATTTGTCATGTGAGTCAGAAATTTCAAACAAGCATTACCTCTGGGGAGAATACAAGTGGGGGAGGGCCCTCTGGGACGTAAATTCTAGACGCGAATTCATCATTGCCATCAACTTTTTGGCAATCTTCACAGTCACAAAGGCACCTAGGAACAAAACTTCGGGCTTCCGACTTGCTTTCCCTGACAAATGAGGAACTGATTGCCTGTGGAATTTGATTCCAGGGTGCTGGGAACAACCCACATCCAAATAAATCTACTCCCACCTGCTGGCAGTTGCCTGAAATTCCAAAGCCGACTTACACTGAAAAACACGCTGTTCTAGAAGTAGGCAACCTGGAAATAAGGTTCTAGTTTTGGCCTCTGCCACCATGTGAACTTTCCTTCTCTAGGCCTCATTTTCTCCATAAGTACAATCCAGCTGGTTGGATAAAATGACCTAGAATGGCTCTTCCATCTTTGGCAAGCAATTGTCTCTACAAGGATGTCTGGGTGACTAGGGACAATGGGGCAGTACTAATAACAGTAGGGGTAGCTCGACTGACCCACTCCTGTATGCGACGGTCAGTGATATATGGGCCCCACTACCCTTTCTTTTTCTTTTGCACCCATGTGAGGACAGCAGTTGCTGCAACGGAAGGGAAAGTGGGAAAGGAAGGGGTGTGGGTGCCCTGCTTGTTAAAAGAAGGCAGCAAGCTATGAGACACATTTTTAAGTTTGATTCTTAAATAATAAAAAGGTGGGGGTAAAAACGTTAAACCCTTAGCTGTGCAAAACACTCAGCTAACCCCAGGAGTTCCAGGCAAGGGAAACTTTGCAATAAGCTGGGTACAAGCAGCCCCAACTCATCTCACCAAATACTGAGGGGAAAATGAAGGGGGTGTGTTTCTACTTGAATGTTCTAGTTAACCAAGAGAGAACTTGAACACCACTGAGCGCTGTTTGTTGGCTGCCCATCTGCCTCCTGGGCTCTGAGGGGGCCTCTTTGTCAGGACCCAGGATGGGAAAGATGGGGTGGAGGCATTTCCTCATCCTCTGAGAGCCTTCTGTTAAACAGAGCAGTGTTGCGGGTAGCGGAAAGAATAGGAGCTTTCTGGTCACATGCCAGGGCCAGAAAGCAGGAGTATTGGAGTGGACTGGTCTCTAGGGTCTACGGCCCTTAAAGTCCCAAAACACTGACTTTTACCTTCCTTTTCCCTTCCATGGTGTCAGTCCTGGACCCTCACTTTAACTCTGCCTTCCCTGGCTATGGGACCCAGTCCCATCTCAGGGTGCCCCCAGTTGGTGAAGCTAGCCTTCAAGTTACCGGAGCTGGCGCTGGGGACTCAAACTTGGGGCAAAGAGCGCTGTGGGAAATGTGAGTCTTCCTGCAACTCTTGGGCTCCTGTCCCGAGTGAGGCAGCGCCTGCTGTAGCGCTGTGGTCTGAGCCTGTCATAAAACCCATTGAAGCTCCCGTCCCCCGCACCCCGAGGGAGGCACTTACTGGAGGCTCGAGGGTTCCTCCAGAACCCAAAGGTGTCAGGTCTTTCAGAATGCAGAGTCCGCCAGGGCAGTCCAACACTTACACTCTCTTCACCACAAAAAACAAACTCCCGAGCCCCAGCTAGGCCAAGAGAAAAGCCCCTTTGCCCTGGATGGGGGAAGCCCGGCAGCAGCGCGGGCTGAGGGATGCGGAGGCCGCCCGCGCGCGGGTTTGCGTGCTCTCGGCCCGCGATTGGCGCGGCCGTCGGGGTGGGCGGGGCCGTCGGAGTGGGCGGGGCCGTCGGAGTGGGC